CCATGAACCAAAGGTGTGTGATATCAAGACATTTTGACACAATATTTAACGATTACACGCACAAGAGTCCTCTAATAATGAAAACATAGGTATTCATTGGTATTCATAGGTTGTCTGCTTGACTGATTAATCTACATCCCACATTCATATTTTATTAATTTTTCCCACATCAAAGTATATTTCAGTTACTGGTACATGTGCCGTAAAACACATCTGATTAAAATTAGAGGCCCCATTCATTTTTAATTCTGCCTGCCAGTGTACATCACTACATCTGATTAAATGACTATCCAAATTTTGTTCGGTTTGTTTTTGTTCAGCAACCAATCAGAACTTCTTTTACATGCCACTTTCTTGAAAAGCCTTCTGTTATCCAATCAGAACTCGCTTTACATGTTCTCTGTTATTGATTTAAGACCAATCTCATCGGACAGAGCTGCATGAATGCAGTTTAGATAGTTATTTTGTAAGATGTAGTTTGAGGCAGTTGTGACAGTAATTAATATTGACCAGACCCTTTTAATTCACATAGGGTAAAACAAATGAAACATTTTTCTGCTGTCAAAGGTGTTTGGTTTACCTATAAAAAGTCTTTCTCATAAGCAAGTCTGATGAAGTGACTGGAGAATATGGTTGACACAGACAAGATTCATGATCCATTAACACTGGGTTCAGTTTACATACATTTTATGTTAACACTTTCAAATGCTGTTTTATTTATTTTTATTTATTTATTTGTTCCTATCCTTTTAAGTCAGGGGCTCACCAATAGAAGTAATTGGGCTGATGAATTTCAAGCATTTGCTAAAAATTGATAACAAATATTACAGAGGTCTACCCATGGTAACGACTTATAAAATATCAAAGCATTCTGGTTGGCCACTTTTAAGAAGTTGAAAATACCTTTTTTCAAAACCAAAAGTTACAAAAATATTCACTTAAATTAGAAAATCTGATAGAGATCCACCCAAGGTGGCTACATATAACTATCAAATTAATCATATTCGCCGTTTTTTACCAAAATATTAACTTAAGGTATTGTAACAAAATGAACAAAAGAGGAATGTACTCTCAGATGTGTTCATTTTGTGATGATATCTTTGATTCTCTAATTTTGATGAATATTTTTGTAATTTTTGGTAAAAAGTGATATTTTCAAATTCTTGTTGAAAACAGCAAGTCCGATTGCTTTGATACTATACATATTGTTTATTTTCTGATGATACCTACAGTTCTTTAATTGAAATGTGCATTGCTAACAGCGGAGCTATCTCAGGCGACAGGCTGCTTGTTTTTATTTAAAATAGCAAGAGAGTGATATTGTTATGTGAGAGTATGAGATTTAATACTACCGGCAGTATTGTTGGTCATTTGTCACATGAAGTTGACGATTGTTATGATATCAATATCATATTTCTATTGTAGTACATAATTAGACTGAGTTTATAGGTTTTTCTTCCCTACACACTAATATGTGAACTGTATGTTTCAAACATATTTATTTATATATTATAAAAAAAAATGTTTCACCAGTCCTAATGGAATTAAAATTACATTTCCTATATACATTATTCAGGATTTTCTTGTATCTTCTCTTGCAAATTTATAACTATTCTGAGTAGCTAATTTCAGGTTTATAAAATGTGGTTTTTCTATTTTTATAGACCGTAATGAGCTGTTACTTCAAAAAAAACTTTTCAGTTTTATCAATTTATGACGTCCAAGATAATAGGCCTGTGATGCAGTGTGCTATCATGAAATTAACAGATTCCAATCGCCGTGTACTATCCATGTACAATCATCAATGAAACGTGTGCAGTTAGCATATTATCCTTCACTGAATTGTCACTCACACTCAAAATTTACAATCTCTTTTTTGCTATTTTACAATTCAAAATTATTACAATTTGGTCCTAAAATGACACACATGGCTAAAGTCTGTAGGGTTGATATGTGAAAGAGAGAAAAAATAAATAAATATATACAATGTCTGTGTGGAAACATATTGCCCCAAGCACGCCTGTTTGTGGTAGACTTTAATCCTTTATTTCCGGTCCTACGTTTGAATGTACATGTATATCGTGAACTCTAGTGAATAAATGGGTTAATAGTTGTTTCGATGACAGCCATCTTTGATGAGTATCAGTATTTATTTATTTATTTTGATGTGTTTATACATTGTGACTTTATAATTACATTTTTATTTTAAATTAATTAGTCAAATTATATTATTAATTATTCTAATCACTTGTTAAAGTTTTTTGCTTTAGCATGGGATATCAAGCTGTCACTTTCTATCACTGTTTGTTACTTTAAAGGTATCAGGTTTAATCACCCCCCCCCCCCCCACTACATTGGAATGAGCAAATGTGGTATTGTAATTGGACTGTTTCATTATTTGGATCAGCAGAATAGCTCACTCTTAGGGTGTTCATTTCTATATACAGGGAATCCAGAAAACATTACCCCACAAGGTAAATTTTGATCTGCTTCTCTATAATGAAGTGAAAAGTGAAAGTAATTTTTTTTAGGAATGAGAGGGGTAATTGATATTTATAAATATTTACATACATTGTATACATAAAATAAATGTTTGAAAAATAAATACAAAAGAATACAACTTACCATAATTTGTGAGTAGACTTGATTTGATTACAATTCAGAGGCTAATAAGCAGTTGATTGTATCTATCATATCTCTGTATAATATCTCCGATATATTACCCAATTGCTGGCACTAAGAGTACACATGTATCACTGACATATGCCACCCCCATGTGTAAGCCCTGTCATCCGCCTACACTAACTTTCCATTCATATTTTGCATATAATTCTACCTATGATTCCAGTCACAACTACATAAACAACCAACGCCCACACAATTTTTTTTACTTCCTATTTGGTTCATAAATATGAAAAAAAAAATGTGGTGAGATTCAAATTGAAATGCTGGTTTTATATATATCGTACATATGTTGCAATCGACCTAATTGCGAAATTATACCAAGTGTACATTTTGTGTGGGAGTCCACAATCTACGTTATTTATTTTTTAGTTATTTAGCTTGGTAAATACTGTAAACCAGAGAAAATATTTGTCAGTAAAAATAACAAAGGTACAGCGCAGGTTGATGTACCTACATACATGTACTAATAAACCTAACCTCTGTGGTTGTGTGATCCTATACAATGTTAATTATTGTAACCTTAAAATGGTATCAATGAAAATTAATCTCACTGGATATATTTGAATAGTTTAGTTATATTTCATGTTCTATTTCTAACAGGTGTTGCTGTTATAATTTGTTTGTATGGAAAATAAATCAAATTAATTTCCAGTATACGATATTTGTTTTGTATTTGATGCGGTGTTGTGTTATCAGGTGGCTGTGCACTGGTCCCATGTGAAAACAGCTGAGTTATATCGATTAAGGGATTCCTTCCATGTCTGAATCGTGCTTATGGGAATATATAGTAATATACCATAATCTGCATAATACTTGTTAAAAATGAACCAAAAGCTCTGTGTGTGATATAATATATATCCTGTAACTCTTAGTCAATAATAATATAAAAGGAGTTTTGTCATCTTCTTCTGTATGCAGTGAAATAATGTGATCCTCTTCTAGCAAATTCAGCCAGTGTCTGGAATTTCCCAATTGATGACTTTTTCCCGACTAACAATACATACTTCATTACATTCCATACAGATGGGAATAAGGTATGGAATTATAAAGAAGTACGTTCTGTAAACGAGACCTCAATCCAGCATTCAAATTCAATCTCCTGACACCTTGGTACCATGGATGTAATTGCCATATTGCTGCAGTTTCTTCAGTCCAACTTTGAAAAAAAAATCTAACCCATACATACATACATACATACTGCATGACTGTAATGAAAATAATTTAATTTGTTGGTGATGAAACCCACCCAAAAATATATTTCATCATCATTACAAGTAAAAGATAATACTGATGTTGCTATGGGGTGTACAAGATTGGTCATGTGTGTGGGAGATCAAACGACATTGTGTCGTCAGACGCCACCCACTCGTTACTACACGTCAGCATGGCTATTTCTCACATATAATTATCATACTCTATTCACTGTGCGTTGAACCAGTGGCAAAATAGACAATTATCATTTGAAATTTACTATTATTTTGATGAACCTCTCGATGAGGTATGATGACTTTCCTCCGTCATACAAATGACAAATAAAAATCAATCCTGCAATATATAACAAAAATATAAAATTCATATATGACATATTCAGATTCTTTCTTTTTCTAAGTTAATTGTTAATTAATTAATTGTAAATAATTTTCGTATTAATATTTGTCAATATATTAAAAAGTGAGGGGGTGAGCTGACATGCTGGTTTGGAGTTGTAGATTTACACATATTGGTTTGTAATGACTCACCTCTGTACGGCTATGCATCAGCTAGTGTGTGGTATGATCCGTTCCATTCATGCCCACATACTCGTAATGTTATGCAAATGAGCACTCGTCATCCACCTTACCGGAAGCTAGTGTTCTATTCACAGCTGACAAAAGTGATATGAATGATCGATGTTTTTGGTTTCGCCATGTGGTATACAGAAGGGAATATTGGAACGGGGAAGACCAATAATGTAACACATTGGATATCGACGTTAGTTTGTGTTTACATAGTAACCACCAGGACATTTAAGCATGATAGTGCCTTGAAATATATGGATTAAAATTTACAGGACAGGAATAAAGGAACATAAGTTTATTTTATTTTATACTAAAATATCCAAGAACCAACACATACCAAAAATTATATCTCAAAAGTGAATATTCATTGGGTATTTTAAATTTAACCGGACCGGAAGTGGGGATTTGTTACTACTATAAATATCCAAACATATTTTAGTTTAATTAAGGTAGTAATAATATTTATATAACAATCTAGATTGAAAGATTTTGTCCATGGAATTGGCCCACTCTATGATCTTTTGTCTGGAAGTTATGTTTGTGCAGTGCTTAATCAGGATGGAACATGAAATAAATAGATTTTCAAATGTGCTGACATGAATAACAAATAAACAATTTCATAGAAAATAAAACAATGTTTTTCTTCAGTTCCTGTTGTTTGACTGCTAGATTATTGCTCACCAAACACTGTTCATGTGTTTATATGTCTGGAATGTAAATTAACCATAAAATTTTCCCTTTCAAAATTTGCACATTTTTATATTATTTCAATATGGCTTTCGATTGCATACATGTGTTTAATAATGATAGTAAGATGTTTGTCAAGACGAGTAAATCAATGACAAACCAGAGATCAATTATAATTAGTTGCTTCTCAAAATCGTTTTTCTGATGTCATTTCGTTTTCGTTCAATGAGACAGTTTTGATGAGTTTTGCAAAATGTTGTCTGCACATCTCGCTCAAATACAGAAATTGCAAACATTGATAGACAGTTTTTTTGTAAATTATATGGCAGTGAATGTTACCACGTAGATTTGTTAGCGTCAGTTACACTATCATTCTAATCTTGGCTATGAATAATCACTGATATAATTGTGAACATAACCAGCACACTTAATAAAAATATTGATGTGGTTGGAACCTACATGTGAATGGGATGATACACAAATCGGGATTTCTGTAAAATCTGTATGAGAAGCCGCATCCCTAATATAAGTCGCACCCATTCTTTTTGAACAATTGAGAACCAAAAATTCCTCATATATGTAGATGCTCTAATAGAAGCTGCATCCCCTCTGTTGCATTGTACCATTTTAATAAAAGCCACAGATTCTAATACAGATTTTGCAGTAAAACTGCATGTCTATTAGATTCAGAGAAGATGACTTTTGAAAGTCTGTGATCAACAATATCTGAAATTCACTTTGTTTTGCTGGGGAGGGCATGAGAATATGCAGGCAAAATAATAATCAGTTATAATGCCTGTATTCTGTCAACTTGAAGCCATTAGCATAAATTTTATTCTTACTAGTATTAGCTACTCTTTGTTTGATTCAAAATGCTGAACTTTTTACATGCGATGTGCCTCACCATCTAAGTTGTATGCATTTGTCTAAAGAACTGTGAATTTGATTCGGAGAATTACTCAAGGCATCAAGGAGTCTTGTATTTGGGATGTTGCTTTATATATATGTATATATCTATTCACATTCTAAGCATTTAGTCTTGTCACATCATTCCAAATATATATAGTATATAATATCTCTGAGTATAAGTATGCATTTGGAACGTTGCTATAGTGCATTCACTAATGTCAAGTAGTCTGTTAGTTTTTAATCATTCTATACGTGTCATTGTAACTCGGTGAATGACGTTGAATGATGCCTGTGTATTACGTGGTAAGTGCAGTATGTGTTCCACATAAAGCAGTCTCTAAATTACATCTACTTTATTGTCTGCCTGTACCTGCATGCATTGGGTCAAGACTGGGGACGGTTTGACTGATTGAAATTCTAATAATGTATATTCAATAAAATTGTTCCTTTTGAAAACTATTGATACATCAAATTGAATTATTTAATTGTAATCTATTAGAAAGCATGTACACTAGTAGCACATGGACTTACGTTAATGATAGAGGTGCGTCCACATGTCATATTTTGAAGACTCGGCATAGAATAAATGTAATTTATGGTTTTATTGTGTTTAAGACATGTGCTTTTAAAAGAGAAAATATGGTACTCCATGATTGATCCAAATTCAGTGCTTTCAAATATGAAATCTTCAAAAGGTTAGTCCACTTAATTGCCTTGTGAATTATGTAGGGTTAGGGGTTTCTGACGGTAAATTTCATCTATGGATCAAAAATTGCCTTGGCAAAATTAAGAAAAATTCAATTTAAACATCTGTTTTTTGTATTAAAAAATACATTTACATGCAATTCATTTTAGATTTTAGAGTATCAAATCTTCATTTCTTGTTTACGAGACGCCTTGCACACCCACACGCTTGACAGCATATGGTTCATACAAGAAAAGATATTATTTCAGAAGTGAAAGTTACCATTCTTTTTTTACCAAGAATCATCAACATAAAAGTATGAAACTTTTTATTAACCATCTGAACACCTTTATTTTTCTTGCTAAAAAATTTTGCAAAGCATTTTGTACATTTTTCCATAATTTCTTATTAATTTGTCACCAAATTGGTCATAGTTTACAATTTCTTTATTTAGGAAGGGTTTGGAAAAGGCATAATTCAAACAAAATACATTAAATTCATTAAATATCATATCACACGTTTGACCCATGCCTTCAACTTAACTGCCAACTGCTATTCAGTTATAGCCACATTCAGCATTATTAAAATCAGTCTCACCGGGACACCATTGATATTTTATTTTCAATATCTACTGTCACCCTTCAGGAAATCACTTGAATTTTCTTGCCGTCACAAAGCAATAACAGTTATTTATATCAACTGGGGTTAGGAAACATGTACATTAAGATTATAATAACAACACAGAATGAATAGCAATTGGCAAATGAATAACTCCTACTTCTTCTCATTAAATTCTTATTACTTCACCTTTTACTGCATGCTAGTACTGGTAATGTGTCAGATTAAGACCCCTGGTTGGCTTTCTGAGAAAGACAACAATTTGCCCTGATAATGTGACTTCCGGATTCCAATAAGCTCTGATTATATAAAATAATAGTCAATAAAAATGAGTTGCTCCTACCTTGATGAGTAATAGGTTATGGGACTGTTGCGACAGTTCATTTGTTGCGTCAATTCCATGTGGATTGTTCATTTTGATTTGCCATGACGATGTAACGCATGCAAGGTGATGGACCACGTTTGACAGAAGTGTCTATAGCTACTGCAGCAATATCGAAAAGCAGCGACTCTGGAACGTTCCATACTGTGAACGGAAGTTTTAAAGCTTTCAGTCAGAATGCATTGATTATGGACGAAGCCAAGTTAGCCAATTCCCCAGTGTTCTGCATCTATGTATCAGAGCTCTATAGCCTTGGCAAGCAGATGGCTATATCCCGTCTGCAACCTAATGAACCTGTGAGCATGATAGGTTGTATTCCTACTATGTATGCGTATACTGTTAAGTGACTTGGCAAGACAAATGTGAACAGAGTCACTGTCTGCAAGACAAAAGACCCATTTAATTGCTATATGCTATAAAATACCTTTATGGGGGAATAGATCAACGATAAAATTGTCCAGTTTTGTCAAATGTAATATAGCTGTTCCTGGCAGTGATATGAACCTAAACCCGCCCCGCCCCGCCCCTCCCCTCCCCCTACATCAAGCCTCTCCCATCTATAACTCATCAATATTCATAAGTTTTTGATTTGAATTCAGATCATGATTTTTGGTTCTTGATTAATTTGCGCTTTTATATGATTGATATTATTTTTACATTATATAATTTATTGTACATTGTACTCCTGGCCAGCCTATTTTTGAGTTAGTGATGGTTAGAATTTAATGAATGGTGCCCATTTTATCAGTATTAGAATGCTTTTACACATGGTGAAGTTATACCATTTTTCAAATTGTAGGTTGGTAACGAAATTATAAATCGTTATTGGGTACTTAAAAATCCTTATATCAAAATGCTTGATTTTTTAAAAAATTAAAAAAAATAATCTATAACATTTTACTATTACATTGTGTTCTATGTAATTGTTTTAAAGATAACATTTTTTAAATAAGATATAGCCAATTGTTCAAAGGAATGTTGCCATGGAACTTTTATGATTACACCTCTCCTCCCAA